TCTGGGTCAGAGGTCATTTAGAGACCGAGTCATTCTGGGTCAGAGGTCATTCAAAAACCGTGACAGTCTGGGTCAGAGGTCATTGAAAGACCGGGCCACTCTGGGTCAGAAGTCATTCAGAGACCGGGCCACTCTGGGTCAGAGGTCATTCATAGACCGGGCCACTCTGGGTCAGAGGTCATTCAGAGATCGTGACAGTCAGGGTCAGAGGTCATTCAGAGACCACATCATTCTGGATCAGTGGTCATTCAGAGACTGTCAGTCAGGGTCAGAGTTCATTCAGAGACCGGGTTACTCATGGTCAAAGGTCATTCAGAGACCTGGTTACTCAGAGTCAGCGGTCATTCAGAGACCGGGTCATTCTGGATCAGAGGTCATTCAGAGACCTGGTTACCTTCAGGATCTCGTTGAAGCCATAGTTCTCCTCCATGATCTTCTGCTTCTCAGAGTCCAGGATGGCACAGCAGACCAGCAGGTGGAAGTTCTGACAGGGCAGCCCGGTCCACATCACCTGAGAGGAGGAGTCCACAGGTCACATCAACAGGAACAGAATTGAACACAGCGACCAACTGAGACAGTCCCCAGAAACAGCTCCATGTCACCTCCAGACTGAACCGAGCTGTTCTAGAACTTGGATCAGATCCAAGTTGATACATGTCAGAACCAAACCCGAGAATTTAGAGGCATAAACAAATCATCTGAACAGAACCCAAACGGACCTCCCAGAGCCGCAGGACATCCTGGAAGTTCAGCTCCCTCTTGAATCGGATCAGCAGCCACCGGAAGCAGAAGTACAGATAACCTGACTCCTGAGATTCTGAAACACAAACAGAATACTTCACACGTGACCGGTCCAGTCCAGGAGTTCTGACCCAACAAGTGAGATGTGACCTGGTGTGCCATACCCAGGTAGTTCCAGAAGGCCAAGTCGAGCAGTCGGAGCAGAGTGCTGAGCTGGATCAGCTGGGTCTTCATGCCCTGCATCTGCTCCTCAAAGTTCTGGTGCTGCAACACAAACACAGTCCAATGACTACAGAACCAATACAGTCAGAACCTAAAACAAACCCGGTTTTGATTCTCACCATCTGGTCCATGAAGGATACGAAACACCAGAACGCATCAACCTCGTTCTCCATGACGAAGAGGATCGGAGACAGCAGGTCGCTCATCCCCTGAACGTAACCTGAGGGGGCAGAGACACGGTCAGAACCGCAGGAGGAGAAGTCAGAAGAACCACCACTGAATGGGACCAGAAGCTGAAAGTACCAGCAGCGGGTCTGGACCACCATTTGTCTATTGATCAAATCTGAAACTCTATCAAATCAACGTTTGTTGTGGATCCAGAACCATCAGCTGTATTTCAGCCATGTTCTACACCCGTGTTCCTCAGGAAAACACGTGCTCACCCAGGTCAAAGTCGTACATGCAGTAGGTCATCAAGATGTCGTGCAGCAGGGTAAGACTCGGGTTGTTCAGACCTTCATAGAACCGGTTCGTTCGATCCGTTCTGTTCACGTCTTTCTCTGAAACCAAAAACAAAACACCTGTGACATCATTTAGAACATGACTCATATTTACAGCATCTTTCTACCTGAGATAAAAATGTCCATCTTTAAAAAACAGGAAGCAGGAAGCTAGCTGGAGGTTAAAGGTCAAGAACCACCAAAATGCTGCTGGAGGTTAAAGGTCAGGGACCATCAAACTGCTGTTGGAGGTTAAAGGTCAGGGACCATCAAACTGCCGCTGGAGGTTAAAGGTCAGGGACCATCAAACTGCTGCTGGAGGTTAAAGGTCAGTGACCATCAAACTGCTGCTGGAAGTTAAAGGTCAGGAACAATCATACTGCTGCTGAAGGTTAAAGGTCAAGAACCATCAAACTGCTGCTGGGTGACAGTCAAGAACCATAAAACTGCTGCTTGAGGTTAAAGGTCAAGAACCACCAAACTGTGTCTGGAGGTTAAAGGTCAGGGACCATCAAACTGCTGTTGGAGATTAAAGGTCAGGAACCATCAAACTG